CGCGTGCCTCAGTTTCTGGACCCTGTTGTGGTAGTACCCTTTCTTCCCGTGCTGCGTGAACGTATTGAGAGCCGTGGGCTAGATGCTCGAACGGCGTAGGTCGGCTTAGATGCCTTGATTTCAGTGGAGTGACGCTGATTTACATGACCTGCCGACGTGGCTCTGTCTGTTTATTGCCTGGATAACGCACCCTCTGCTCTTCCAAGTATCACAGCCCTTTTTGACATTTCTCGTCTCTACTGGCAGTGGCAGCAATCGGATGGAAAACCCGAAGTCTGGTGGCATCTCAGTTAACCCCACTAAGCTTTGTTTTAGAGTGACTCATGAAACCAGGGTCGGAGCAGCCTGCCTGCCTGATAGAAAATACCCGATTTTTCCAAATACCAATTCAGGAGAGCACATAGGCACATGCTTAACGTTAGGCCTATGAGCACTGCTTTCCTGAATCGGGGCCCATCCACCCAGCTTTTACGGGTTCCCTCCTGCCCCATGCATTTCCCTGTGTAGACCCACCCGGCTGAGATGACGGTATTTTTCCTCTCTGCAGTTTCATTCTTGGCCAGAGGATAAACGCATAGACGGTTTGTGGATTAGTTTGTTTTACATGCCGCAGTCCAAGGATTAGCGAACGCCTGCATTAGATTCCGGGAGTGCCTCTGCCCTCGGGGAGACATTTCTAAGGCGCCTCTGGCCTGTAGACAAGAGCTTGCACAATCTCTTCTTTTAACTTCTCTCCTGCTTCATTGATGCTTATCTGGCAGGGCAAAGGGCCTCGTCATGGGGACAGGACCTGCTCTGATTTCAGAATCAGAAGCTGGGAGGAAGCGGAGGGTTTCTTACAATTAGGCTACTTTAAGGATGAACTACAGGCAAGATCATATTGTATCTGTTTACAGGCTCCAACAGCCTTTTGTAAATTTCCGAAGGGGCAGTAAGTACAGTACCTAGCTGTAGTTCCTGTGGATCCAGTGCTGCACATGCTAAGCAGGTGTGTCTCACAGCTCCCGTGAATAGCCCTGGGGAAGTTAATAAATCACAGGAAAGGACACGGTGTTTGTGAGATCTGGCCCAGTGTAACCAGGGTGGCGGGTTTTAATCTGTGCTCCACAGATCCCTAGATCCGCAGACTATGTCTCAGGCTTCCAAAGGGGGTTGTGCCTCCATTTGAATGTTTTTAGGGGTCTGGAAATGAAAAAAAGTTGAAACTTACTACACTAAGATTCCCCTTTTAACAAGGCTTGAGAACACCTAGGAATTGTGATTGCTGCTCCTGATGGATCCCTTCCCCCCCTCCCCTCACTCTAATCCATTAGATTAGTTCGTATGTCTCATTCACCTAGGTTGTCAACTCTTGGGGGGATGGGTTGTCACGCCTGTACTGTGCCCTGCCTGGGATGATGCGTACTAGTGCACTGTGAATATTCATGTGACACACTCTCTTCTCCCGTAGTCAGCTGCTTATGTCCTGGTTTTGCTGCCAGAGTCAATAACAGCACAAAGAGCAGCTAACTAAAGCATGAACAAACTGTTCCCTTGCTACCCCTTTTTTTCCATCTGCCTTTGCTGAGGGTAGCTGGCACGGTGTACCGGAGGAGCCCCAGGAGGGCTGCACTTGCATCTCTGGCTTGCAAGGCAGTGGTAAATCTGAGGTTGTTTGACCCACTTCTCTTCTCAAACCACCGTCTCCATTTCTCTTTCTCTTGGAGCCTGACGAGCAGGCTTGTCACTTTGAGCAGCGCTTTTGCGTGTCACCGCTAAGCAAACCACGGATAGAAGGATCCCTCTTGGCAGACACTTGAGAAATCCTCTTGTTCAATTTCCTGCAGCCAACAGGAAACGCCTCGAAGTGGCATCGGGGGTTGTGTAGAATCAGAGCTGCCACTTTCAAACCCCAATGTTTCCAGCCCGTCTGACTGCACCGAAACGGGAACGGTGTGTGAATGCAAACAGGGAGTCTGCAGAGGCCCCCCAAGACTGGAGTGAAGGCAGGAGAGGGAAGTCACAGCAAATTACAGTTAAAACTATGAAAAAGAAAGTTGACGGCATGTCACAGTTAAATGCAACAACCCTCTTCCTGAACGGGGCCCGGCCTGACAGCCTAAACTCCCAGGCACGTGGCAGGTACATTTTCAGGCTTTGCCCTCTGACAAAGCCTGGTTCTGCGTCTGGGCAAGGGTTTACCTGACCAGCTCTGTTGCTGCTTTGACCGTGTGGTTTCATTTCTTTCTACCAAAGAAAAGCGGTTTTTAACGTGGTTTGTGGGACACACATCGGTTGGATCAGCTGAATCTCTGGCAGCGTCGCTGGAGTCAGCCCGTAATGAGCACGAATGAAAGGCTGCCTTGTTGTGCGGGGCGAGCTGAGCCAAAGTTAATGCCGCCTGAATCTGCCCAGGATTCACGGAAGTTTGTCCGGCGTTCAGATAACTGCTAGCCTTCTGCCCCCACTAGCACGACTCTGGCCCCACGGGGCGGACACTGGCATTAACGCTGTGTGAAGTGGCCGTGCCAAACCCAGGACTGTGTGATGTGAGCAGTCGCTGTGGAATCTGGCACGGGAATTGCCCAAATGGGGTAAAAGGACTGAAAATTGCTGCAGTATCTTCCAAGGGCATGAAATTGACTTGGAATGAAAGGGGTGTGCATCAGGGGTGTAAAAATCCCACTTGATTAGTTAACCAGGTAAAGATTATGTTTAACCAGTGCGCCGATTCAATGAGATGGGCGGCAGCCCCCGCCGGTTAACTGAAACAGGCGGTGAGGCTTGTTGGTTAACGGGTTAACCCAGGGGTCTCTAACCTTTTAAAGCACAAGATCGCTTTTTGAATTTAAGTCCGTTTAGGATCTACCACGAACCCAAATACCCCTGCTCCACCTCTTCACTGGAGCCCCGCCCTTCTCACTCTGTGGTGATGGGGTACAGGCAAGGGGGACAGGGTGACATCAGCACCCCCTGCCTCTGTTTCCCCCACCCTGCACAACAAGCGGTTGGCTCCCAGGGGCAGCGCTGAACAGGAGTACCAGGGCAGTGCTGGGAGGGGCAGCTGAAGTGCCAGCACCTGATAGCCTCTTGGCCAAACCAGCCAGGATCACCTGTCAGAGGCTCCAAGATCGACTGGTAGATCCCGATCGACTGGTTGGTGACCACTGGGTTAACCATTCACATCCCTAACATGCACAGAGGGAGGCGCTGAACTGAATTGTTCCAGACCCGAACAAAGAGCATTAAGGAGAACCTGGCCACGCCCAGGGGGTGACCTTTTGTAGTGTAGGACCAGCCATGGAGAGGAGTGTCTCACAGTCAGTCAACAGCCGGTCCTCTCTAGGCTGTAGCAGTCCATCTGAATTAGGCCAACAGCCAAATGATTGTAGGGCACCTCCTCATGTTGTGACTAGTCCTTCCCAAGCACCGCTCCCTTGGGCTGTCTCTGAGCTGGAGTTGTCTGAGCCCGGAATAGTGAGGTGGTTTGTCTGTGCTACGCAGCTTTTAGCGACACAGCTGTGTCGACACCGCCCTGGTGCTAAAAGTCAGCACGTGAAAATGCTATTTGGTGGCACTTTTGCTGACAGTACAGTTCCACCCCCATGAGGGGTGTCGTGTGGTAGCCTTCACGTTTGCCCTTGCTGCAAACGTGGTATCGTGTGGTAGCCTTCACGTTTTCACTTAAGCCCCAGTGAAAAATGAAAGTTTTGTCAGTCTAGTGCAAGTGTGGACAAATTACTAGCCCCGTAGAGACCTGCTGGCCTGCACTGTATCTGGTTCTAGGCAGGCTGAATTGATTTCAATCAAAGCGATTGAAATCACCCAGTGGAAAGCCACAATTTAAATCTATTTTAATCCGCTTTATCAGCTGCCCTTCAGTTGTTCTATAGAAGGGCACACACCCATTGGTTGCTATCAGCATTAACTCATGTTAATTTACAACTAAATAGACCCATGATGCTATATTTCATACATTTTTTTCCTATCTAGGAGGACATACTATAACTATATATATTTAAGCAACCATAAGACTTAATTTTTCTTGTACACTGTATATTTGTAGTACGTTGGAAAATGGTGACACAGATTGCTGATTGACCAATTTATTGTACAGTAATTTACTTTTTGTTCTTGATTTGTATCAAGCTGCATTAGGAATGTAACTAATTTAATTAAAACACACACAACAGCATATACAATTTATTTTTATTAAAATAACCGTACATGTTTTAGATACATGCATGTATTGAAACATGTTTCCTATTTACAATGAAATGATTTCTTAAACAGGGATTAACTATTTTTGTATGTGAATCAGGTTTTTTATTTTGTTTTAAATCATCATATATTTTCCTCTTTAAAAAGAACAGGTTGTAAAATAAAAGCTTATTTAAAAGTAAAAAAATCCCATTTAATTTTAAAAAATCAGATTTTTATTTTTAAAAAATCCATCAATTTTAATCCACCCTCCTTCTAATCCAGCATTTTCCCAGATTGCCTCTTTAATTGTTGCTTGTAACCAGTAGGTTTTGATTGTTTCTGTCTGCTGCACTCTTCCCCCCTCATCTTTTCGAATCCAGAGAGGAATTGCAAAGCTTTGGGCAAGAAGCTTTGTGGTGAAATTGTCTATGGCTGATCATTTAATAGCAGTAGCTAAAAGAAACAGAAACAAAACCCAAGCAAACAGCCCACCCCCAGCTATCCCCAAAGCCCTTATTCCTAAAATCGTCTCATTTCCTTGGTCCTGCTTTCATGTCTCACCCTCCTTTCTCACCTTAGATTTCACATTATCCCCAAAGCCCTTATTCCTAAAATCGCCTCATTTCCTTGGTCCTGCTTTCATGTTTCTCCTTCCTTTCTCACCTTAGATTTCACATGTTGCTTCCCCACCCCCTCCTGTTTATTCTCTGTCTCTCATTTCCACGGGCAGAATTTCAGGCTCTCCCTCTTCTCTCCCCCCCGCCCCCACAAGCCATCTGGGGTCCCTGCTTAGCCCTGGAGCGTAGTTAAGAGGTTTAGCCACACGCTGGAGAATACAAGAGCTCACACCCGCTGTGCACAGCACAGGATGTTCACAGGGCCAGGCTGATAATTCCTCCCAAAGGTGAGGTGACCGTAAGGTGACCCGTAGGAATTTGTGTAATGGCACTGTGAGGAGAGGCCGTGGGGGACGGAGACGTGTGGGGCCGTTTATTCTGTTCGGTCTGTCCAGTTTAGCTAGACATGAGGAAATGGCTACTTACAATGTGTTACTTTCCTGTACGTGAAGCTACTTACCTGTATTAAGTGTAGGTAACTTTCTGATTCCTGCGCGAGGTATCAGCTGGTAAATTCCCTTAACCCATCATTTTGACGGTGAGAAATTGTAATACTCTTACTCCCCCAACTGTCTCAAAAGTATTCAGAGGGGTAGCCGTGTTGATCTGTAACTGGAAAAACTTAACAAATAGTCTAGGGCTTTGTCTAGACTGGCAAGTTTTTCCGCAAAAGCAGCTGCTTTTGTGGAAAAACTTACCAGCTGTCTACACTGGGCGCTTGAATTTCCACAAGAACTCTGACTTCCTACTGTCTGAAATCAGTGCTTCTTGCGGAAATACTATGCTGCTCCCGTTCGGGCAAAAGTCCCTTTTGCGCAAAGCTTTTGCGCAAAAGGGCCAGTGTAGACAGCTCAGATTTGTTTTGCGCAAAAAAGCCCCGATGGCGAAAATGGCGATTGGGGCTTTTTTGCGGAAAAGCGCGTCGAGATTGGCCATGGACGCTTTTCCACAAAAGTGCTTTTGCGGACAAGCGTCCGTGCCTATCTAGATGCTCTTTTCTGCAAATGCTTTTACCGAAAAACGGAAGACGTAGCCTAGCAGTACCTTAAGGACTAACAAAACGTGGATGGGATCATCTACGTTTTTTGATTGTTTCTAAGGTGCTGCTAGACTGTTTGTTGGTTGTTCAGATTTTCCCCAACTTTGTGATTGCCAAATTGCGATTCTGAATTGGGGAGCGGTGATCTAACCGCAACCTGAACCGTACGGACCTGTGAGGTCCCCTGTTTTGTGGCTCGATGCCCCAGTGCCCAGCTTTGAGGTGTTCAAAGGCTGTGGGTAATTCTCTACTCCCTTTGCAGGAATGAACGCTGCCGTCCGTGCCGTGACTCGCATGGGAATATACGTCGGAGCAAAAGTGTTCCTGATCTATGAGGTTCGAGTCTGCATTCGAATCGGTCGTTCTCCAGATGGTCCAGCTTTGGGGCGCAGTGGCTGTGAAAGTTGGCAGGCGAAATAAACTGGGGCTTGACCCCAGCCGGTCTCCTCTGGCGACCTCTGCGCAGGGCCTGCCTGTGACAGGGCAGGGCGCTCGGCCCCGGCTTTGCAAGCGATTACACGGCAGCGGATGAAGTGAAGGGGCTGAGCCCAGGCGCCGCGGCCCCTCGTCTCCAGCGTGTTGCTGTCATGACTGGCAGCCCGGGGAGCCCCCAGGCTGGGACGGACGGGTTAGCGACAGCTCAGGACAGGTCCGTGGGCAGAGCTGCTGGGCAGGAGACGCCCCTTCTCGTGGCTCCTGAGTGTCACGATCCCCACGTGTCTCTCCAGGGCCCCTCCACTCCCACTGTCTAGTGGTGTCTCCATTTAGCGCCGAGAGGCGCTGGGGCCCAGTGGGTGCGGATGGGTGGAGGCGCCTGGGGCTTTGAAAGCAGGCCCCTTCCCCCGCAGGGACTGTGACGCTCGAATGCCAGAGCTGGGGGCTTCCCTGCAGGCCGGCTCCAAGCCCCTGGAAGTCAGCGGAGGCCGTTGCGTTGGTGCCCGTGGGTCGGACTCCATAGCTTTCAGCTCCTCCGCACTGCCTCAGGCGGGTTGTTTGGCCTTGGACCTTGGCCAGTGGCGCCTTTCCCCTGATAGCGTCCTCAGCTACAGCCTAGAGAGCCGTTGCTGGGGGATAAAGGCTCGTTACATTTTAAACAAAGCAATTCCCGCTTAAAACAAGCGACGGTGGAGGGTTTTCTCTCCTGGATCCTTCCACCATGAAAAGTAGTCCCAAGTGCAATGACAAGAACAAGGGAATTCTTTCCTGTTCTCTGCTCCCTGGAACGTGCTTGGTTTTCTGCTCCCGTGGGCTCTACGGGCCCTTTCTCCGCTCGCGCCAAACAAAGTCCGCTCGGGCCGTTGCACTTCCCCACTAGCAGATGAGTGCCTCAGCCAGCCATTGTGGGGAGAGGAGCCGTTTAAAACTCCCCCTTTGGCTTCTGTCAGCCCCCCATGCCTGCCTGGGAGAGCTGGGTTACACGCTAGCTGCTTGGAGGGCTCACGGCCGGGGGGCCGGGCCGACGGGAGGCTGTGGGATGTGTCCCGGGCGTTGTTCCGTTCCTTCGATGCGGGCTTGCTGAGGGGAGCCGCTGCCCCGGCAGCCAGGGCCTCTCCCCGCTGGCCTGTGGCTCGGGAGCATTCTGTGCGGCCCACCGTTGGCTCTCCTGGCTCTCGAGGGGCTTCCCGCCGCAGGGCCACGGACACGTGTGGGGCCAGGCCTCTGTGGGACCGTGGCACAGCGCCGTGGGTTTGGCTCCGTTGGCTTTACACGGCCCACGGGGCTGGCCTCTCGCGCTTTATGAGAAATGGTCGAACTCTCTTCTCTTCCCCCCGCTACGGTGGCCAGGTGCCCGGTTTGCAGCCGGGGCGTCGGTCGCAAAGGGCCTGGCGGTGTCCGGACACCAAAAGTCTGGTTACTGCCGGTGGGGAAGGGGCTGGGGCAGCCCCGTGCCAGCCCCATCTCAGCTGAGCCCACTGCCTGTGGGGAGGTGAAGAGCAGTGAGCCATGGGGGAAGGAGCAATGGGGGGCGCTTGGGGAAGGACGCGGGCAGAGGGGGACTGGGCAGGGCAGAGGAGGTTCTGGCACTCCTGTTGGGGGTGCCTGGTTTCGAAATAGTACGACGCTGGCATCTGTCCCCCACGTGCACGGTGAGACGTGCGGGTTTCCCTGCCCCGTACGCCCTGAGGAGACAGTCAGGGAAGGGAAGAGCAGGGAGAGGGGCAGCTGGCTAAAAACCATGTCCCTCCGCCGTGTTTCTGCCCACCGGGAGGCGCTCGCTGGCTGAGTGAGGGATTTCCAAGTGCCCGAACCCAGACGGGTTCCCTGCGGCCCTGCCACGCACCTGTTCCACAGACTCCCTGGGCTCCCTCCTCACTGGTCCCTTGCCCAGGCCCAGAGCCCCGGGAATGGGCGCGGTCCTCTCACTTCTGCCTCTGCTTCCCCGTCTCAGGGCTACGAGGGGCTGGTGGAAGGAGGCGAGAACATCAAGCAAGCGAACTGGCTGAGCGTCTCCAACATCATCCAGCTGGTAAGAGGTCGCCTCTTGTGAGTCTAAAGTCCCCTCGTGCCGTCACATTTAACCGTGCAGCTTCCGTGCGTCGCTGGTGTGTCCGCCCTGTGTGGCCGTGTCCTCTGCTCGGGGCGGGCCAGCGCTGGAGACAGGTTTCTGAAGTGGCGCGGGAATCCCGTCGAATCCAGGCGAGATGCGGCCTTGTGCTCCCGGCTTCGCGGTGCTCACGCCCAGGGTGCTGAGCTCGGCTTTACGACTGGGTGTCGCTGGCCATGCTGTGGAGACGTCGCTGAGTGTGCTCCGTCCATGGCTAGCAGGGGCAGTGTGGGGAAAGGCTTTTGGGGAGCAGGGAGGGAAGATCTGTGTAAACCATCCAGCAGCGCAAGGCTGGAGAAACAGCGATTAGCTGGGCCCGTTTCCTCCAGCGAGCGGGGGCCATCTCTGAGGTGATGCTCCGTGAAGCCGGCTAGCGGCCTGCCTGCGGGGCCCATGTCTGTGTGTACCCCTTTCCCGAGGCAGGGAGCCTTTCTCTGTCCCTCTTGGTACAGAACCGAGCCTTGGAGGCTGGGTAACCAGTGAGCATCACTCGGTAAGGCTGATGCTTACTGGTTCGCCATTTGCTCCTCTCGTCCTCATGGTGAGCACGAGGTGAGGGCCCAGCTACACCCCAAGTGGGAACTGCCGAGGTTGGCGAAGCGGGCCCCGGGCCCTGCCACAGAGAGTTTGTTCTGTAGATGGGCTCCCAGCTGGAACGGGACCAGGCGCTGGGTTTGGGCCCTTGCTGCTTTCCGGCGTGACGGCCGAGGCTTGGAGCTGTGCACTGGCTCTGTGTTTTGCCGTGAAGTTCGTGGGCTGCTGCGTCTGCATGCTCCCTGGCTTTGCCCGCTGTGAAATCTTCCAGGCACCTAACTCCGTCTTGCCTCCCACTGGTTTCTGAGGCGTTGGAGTTCCACAGGCTTTACCAGGCCCCGGCCCAAATCAGCGTGGCTCTCCTGAAAGCAGGCAGGCTGCGCCGGCGTCAGCGGGCGGTGCTAATGTCCATGGGCCGGGGCGCCAGCCGAGGGAGCTGAGAGCGGCGTCGCAGCCCGGCTAGAAAGACGGGCGAGAGGGGCTGGACCGTCCGCGACAGGAACAAGGAAGTGGTCAGTCGGTCAGTCTCAGTCACAGTCGGTTGGTCTCAGTCACAGTCAGTCGGTCGGTCAGTCTCAGTCACAGTCACAGTCGGTCGGTCACAGTCGGTCGGTCGGTCACAGTCGGTCGGTCGGTCAGTCTCAGTCACAGTCGGTCGATCGGTCAGTCTCAGTCACAGTTACAGTCGGTCAGTCTCAGTCACAGTCACAGTCGGTCGGTCAGTCTCAGTCGGTCGGTCAGTCAGTCTCAGTCACAGTCGGTCCGTCGGTCGGTCAGTCTCAGTCTGTCACAGTCAGTCGGTCAGTCAGTCGGTCGGCAGTTTCTCTCCTTAGAGTCCAATTGCTGCTCGCTCGGTCGATCGGTCAGTCTCAGTCACAGTTACAGTCGGTCAGTCTCAGTCACAGTCACAGTCGGTCGGTCAGTCTCAGTCGGTCGGTCAGTCAGTCTCAGTCACAGTCGGTCCGTCGGTCGGTCAGTCTCAGTCTGTCACAGTCAGTCGGTCAGTCAGTCGGTCGGCAGTTTCTCTCCTTAGAGTCCAATTGCTGCTCGCTCGAGGGGCCCTTGTCGGCCCTGCCTACCCCAGCCAGCCGGGGCTGATCACAGCCGTGCACCGTGGAAAGCTGCGGCCGGCGGCCGTCCCGTGCTGCCGGCGGCATGGCTCTTTGCGAGCACGTGGCCGCATGGCTCAGCTGCCGCATGGGAGCAGCCTGGTTCTGCCGTGGCCCGGTGTGAGGGGGCGGGGGGGCCTGAAGCAGGCTTAGCCTGTGTGTAAGGGGAAGGGCTTCAGTGGGACAGACTCTGCCTTGGAAACACCGGCTTGTTCTGCCACGTGGGGACCTCGCCCTGCTGGCCCCGTGGGGATCTGCCGGGCGCCCAAGGAGGCTGCACTTGCGGTGTAGCCAGGCCAAGACCAGCGAGCTTGTGCCGGCCCCCGGGAGCGTCCCTCGGGCCCCCGAGCTCTTTCAACCCTTCTCTTGTTTTTTCTCCTCTCTGCCTCTAGCCGCTCCCCTGGGTTGAGCAGCGTGTCTCCCTGCCCACAGGTAATCGCCGGCGCTGCATGCCCCTCGCCTGTGTGCCGCCCCGCCCACAC